CTCTTATCTCTTATTGCTTTTCTAGCCAAACTCTAAATTTCAACTCTACTGAATTTTCAGTGCCTTAAAAAATCCAGGCACTTGCTTTAGTGTTTTCACACACTATGCCAGCTTTCTGGAAGCTTCTTTTTCCCACCCAGCCCCCTACCTCCATTGCATAACTTCTCCTCCCTCCCCGCCTTTGGTCTTTCCTCCAGGAAGCCAGCCTTGAGCCTTGAGGTTTTGTTAGTTCCCCCCGGGCGTGTTTCTGTTGTACTTTATTTTTTACAATCTATCCTGTCCCCATGAAAGAATTTCCCCTCTCCTCTTGAACAAGCTGCACTCAAAAGAATAACAGAGGAAGCAAACGAAATCCTTATTTTATGGCATTCTTTGATTATTTCTGTGCACATTATATATGGGTACTATGTATTTAGTTTTATAACCTTTTCAATTGCACAACTTATTCTAGACGCATTTATAGATGGTATTCTTTTGTTTCAATGTACAATGGATTATTTAACGAATCCTGTTATTATTGGGTGTTTAGGTCATTTGCTACATTTCACTTTGTTTTAGACATTGTTGCAGTGAACATCTTTATCCATGCACCCTTTATACCCAGTTATTTCTGATACGTTTACAGAAGTATGTGTAAGTTGGTATCAAATTAGATCCCCTTCCACAACCAACAATCTTTCCCCATAACCTTGAAAATACTCATTTTATAACTATTATTTTCTTCTATCTTGCTGTTTTGACCAGCAAAACAAATATTTTTTGATTTTTCCTCAATGACTAGGAAAGTTCAGCATCTTCATGTTTATGGGGCATTCTTTAAAAAACAAAAAATCAACTTTATTTGTCCAATTTTCTTTTCTTTTCTTTTTTGAATTTGAATTTCACTCTGCCGCCCAGGCTGGAGTGTAGTGGCACCTCACGGCCACCCCAGTGTCGATCTCCTGGGAGCAGGTGAACCTTCCGCCTCAGCCTTCCAAGTAGTCAGAACTACAGGTGTGCGCTACCACGCCTGTCTGTTTTTGATTTATTGTAGAGGTGAGGTCTTGCCAAGATGCCCGGGTGGGTCTCGAACCCGTGGGCTCAGGCAATCCACTTGCCTCGGTCTCCCAAAGTGCTGGAATTACAGGCTGAGCCACCAAGACCGGCCTATCCAATTTTCTATATAGTCAGGTCCCCTGGAAGCAGCACTTGCCATGAGGATTCTTGTACAAGTGATATTTATTGAGTGTGCTCTGTAAAGGAATGAAGGAAGCGGAACAAGGCAGAAGAGGCAAGGATGTTTTTTCAGAACTCCATCCTCAAGTTAATCCCATGGAGTATTCAGGATCATAAATTGCACTGCTGAGGGCAGAAGTTTGGGCCATGATGACCTGCATCAGTCACTGGCCAGGGGCCAGCCTCAGGGGAGACATCTTCGGGCAAGGTGACTCCCATCAGTCCAGGACAATCCTCTGGAGAAGCGTGAAGATAAGCCATTAGTACCCAACATCTGAAGCAGCTGTAGGACAGGTTCAACACCCAGGGGATGGAGATTTGGGATCTGTGTGGACACTAACAGATTTGTCACACTGGGTATTTGTTTTTTAAAAAACAATTTCATAAAAGTTCAGGATATCATACTTTACTGAAATATGCATTGATGTACTTTCCTAGTTTTGTGTGTGTGTGTGTGTGTGTGTTTTAACAAAACACAGAACACCTTTTTTTCTTCCTTTTTATTTTTAGAGATAAAGTCTTGCTCTGTTGTCTAGGCTGGAGTGCATGGTGCCACCATGCCTATAGTCCCAGCTACTTGGTAGGTTGAGGCCCAGAGTTTGAGGCTGCAGTGAGCTATACATTTTTTTGTAGAGACATGGTCTTGCTATGCTGTTCAGGTTGGTCTTGAGCCCCTGGCCTTAAGCAATCCTCCTGCGAAGGCCTCAACAAGTGCTGGGAATATAGTTGGACCTTCTAACAAAACATTTTAATTGAGACAATTAATCAAACTTTTTGTTTTCTGGCTTTGATGATCAAACTTAGAGGGTCTATTCCAATCCAATACTTTTTGTGTTTTAATTAACCAACCTCTTTATATGGTATTTTACAAGTTGGGGTTTTTCCTTAAATTTAAATCTTTAATCCACTTGAATTTACTATGGGTGTGTGTTGGGTGTGAGACAGAGACTTGACTTAGCTTTTTCCTAAGTAATAATAGTTGATATTAGTTTACGTTACCATAATAGTGTATTAATAAAAAATAATTAATATAATTATTTGGTACATTCTGTATGACAGGCCCTGTTCCGAGTAAGCCTTCTACAAATATTAATCTATGTAATCCCTGCAATAATATCACAGGTAGGGAGAACAGATGAGGTGAGGCATAGAGGTTACATAATTTACCCAAGGTCTTAGCCGTTACGTATTAGCAAGTTGGGATTCTAATACATGTGGTTTGTCTTCAGCCTATGCACCTAACTGGCATGCTGTGACACATCTCCCAAATAGCTGTTTCAGTATCACTTGCTGACCAACTCATCATTTCTTCTTCTGACGTGTGATCCTGCACTCCCTACTCTTTGACTGATCTTTCTGAATTTCAGCACCAATTAGATATAATTTCTGTACTAGAGTTATGTTGTACTTCATAATATTTAGCCATACAGGTCCCTCACATTAGGTTTTTCTTTGAAATTTCCTAAGCATTCTCATTTATTCTTTTAGAGTATCAAGTCCAAAAGCAAATACATAAACAAGCAAGAAAAAAAAAATCTATAAGCATTTTGATTTGAATTTTGTTAAATTCATAATCTAGGGGAGAATTGGATTTAAAATGTTTCATTTAAGAAAACAATATGGTCAGGCTTGGTGGCTCAGCCTGTAATTCCAGAACTTTGGGAGGCCCAGGTGAGTGGATTATCTGAGACCGCGAGTTCAAGACCAGCCCGGGCAACTTGGCAAGACTTCATCTCTACAATACATTAAAACAAAGTTAGCCAGGCATGGTAATGTGCGTCTGTATTTCCAGCTATTTGGAAGGCTGAGGTGGAAGGATTGCTGAAGCCCAGCAGATCAACGCTGGGGTGGCCGTGAGTATGCCACTGCACTCCAGCCTGGGTGATGGAGTGAAACTTAAACTAAAAAAAAACCCAAAAAACCCAGAATGTCCTTATATATTCCAATCTTTAATTACTCTTGATTCCCTTATTGTTTTCATTAAGAGCTTTCTTCATAAAGGTCCTTTTCTTGGTAATTTATTTTCTTGGCAATTAATGTCTTTGTGAGCAGGGTCATCTTTTAAAATTATATTTATATAATTTTATATATAACAGCCTCTCTACCAACAGGCTGTTAACTAAAACTATTGGCTTTTGTGTATTTTTTTTTTTTTTTTGAGTCAGAATCTCTGTCGCCCCACCTCGACCTGCTGGGCTCCGACAATCCTTCTACCCCAGCAATCCAAGTAGCTGGAACTACAGGTGTGTGCTACCACACCAGGCTAATTTTCCATTTATTGTAGAGATAGGTCTTGCCAAGTTGCCTGGGCTGGTCTCAAACCCGTGGGCTCAGGCAATTCACACACCTCAGCCTCCCAAAGTGCTGGGATTACAGGCTGAATCACCGAGCCAGGCTGGCTTTTGCGTGTTTATACATAACTGCTACTCTGCTGAACTTAGGTATTTTCATCTTGTAGCAACCAAATTAGTGGTTCATGTTACAACAAAAGTAAATGTCAGAAGGAAACCTGCTTGCTGCTATTCACCAGCCATCATGCCCTCCTATTTTGAACAATGGAATAAACATGTATTAATAGAAAACAGGCACGACCACACATACTACACAAATATGCATAGAGAGAAGTACCTGTGTTTCTCATTTCTTTCTATTTGTTTCTCTTGAGTTTCCCAAGACAGTCAGATCTGCAAATTTTACCTCCTTTCTTATAACATGAAAACCCTCACTATTATATCTGGTACAGTTGAAGCTAGTACACGGTTAATTCATAAAGTAGACTAACACAGAGCATCACACACAAAGTGGAATATACACCCGCTTTAAGCACTTTGAGCTTAAAGTATATAAATGTACACTCTTGTGCCAATCTTTTAAAAAAGGTCAAAGCCTGTTCTTGGAAGTATGGATGCACCAATGAGCGATCCAAAGTTGTCTTTCTTGAGTTGTAGTCCCTCTAAAGCAGAAAGAGAACTTAAGACTTTGGTGAAGTTGTCCCAGAGCAGAACTTTTACTGGATCAACCCCAAATCTTAGTTTTCCTGCTCATACCTAATTTGACAGAAGCTCCTTTGAATGACTCACCTTTTCCAAACCTTTCTGGAGTCTCAACTTCGTTTTTCTTGGAATTACGTTTTTGCCCTCCACAATTCATCAATTTTTGTAATTTTAAGATTAACTTACACTACTTAAAACACTAAGTACAACTGGCATAAACAGACTAGTGAATAAATACCCAGCTAGCTGACTTTTGGTGAATTCAAGTGGGGTGAGGGCAGAAGCAAGCCACAAGGCAGTGACAGACTTTTGGGTTGTTGGCCCCACAGGGCATTCAACTTACAGAGGGAACGGGGTAGGCTCGAACATCAAACTGCTCAAGTGGATGTCATCAAAAATGCTTTATTTTTAGAACCATCAAGCTTAAGATATTAAAAAAAAATATATGAACATATATATGCGTGTGAATATTCAACTTATATTTTGCCAAGGCTTTTTATTGTTGTCATTATAAAGATCATGAGTGAATTTTAAATTTCACCAAAAGTCTTTTGTGTCTATTCGAAATATTCTGATTTTTCTCTTTTGACCTAGATGATAAAGTATAATGTATTAAAAAGAATGGAAATATCCTTACATTCCTGGAATAAATCTCACCTGGTTACGGTGTGCTATGTCTGAATAATTTCTCTCTACCAATATTTTATTTAGGCATCTATATGCAAAGGAGAGATTGTTCTGAAGCTTTCTATTTAAAATTATCTTTTCTGTGACTCTCAGAACAGTGTTCTCTTTTTTGTTTTAAAAAAATGTTTTATTCATTTATACTTGCTCTACTCCGTTGAGTCTTGGGACCCTTACATCAACATAGCATAAGTGCAGATATTTGCAGAAATGGCTACTTCTCCTTAACACGATGATCCTGATATTAAAATTATTTCCAAAGTTGGTTGAGTCCACTGCTTTGCTATTTTAATACAGCTACTAGGAAAATCAATATTAGGTTTTTTAGGAGTTTCCAACTAAAAGGAAAGAATTCTGTTTCAAAGACCTCACAGAGGTAAGAAGTGATAAAGGAAGAGACCAAGTATAATTTTAAGCAAACATCCCCTCTCGTTTCACAAATTCTACAGCAATTCCTTTTAGAAAGAACGCTTACATGATAAATACATGAAAGAGAAGCTTAAAACAAGAGGAGATCAATTAAAAGTCATCCCTCAAAATAAGTTTTAACAGTCTTCAAAATAACTACTTCTTGAGTAGTAAAATTAAAAGGAGATAAGCTATATACATCAAGAAAGGTAGAAAAGCATGAGCTTTTAAATGAACAAGAAACCTTTTAAAAGAATTTCTTAAATAACCTATATTGAAACATCTTATCCAGCTGTAATTTACCACTTACACAAGGGAGAAATAAATAGTCTCTGCTTTTCTCTTAAAGTACATCTAAATTCATTAAGCTGGCAGTCTGTTTTTTTAATGCTTCACTAGGTTTTGTTTGTTGTTTTCATGGCTTGAATGTAAAACTGTTTTTATAGACTATTGATTTCCAGCTCCAAATGAAAGCAGTAAATCATGCCAAGGTTTTATTTGTGCTGTGGCTGGTGAACTACAGATGGGAAGAAGGGCGTGCTCACGGAGACCAGCCCATCCTCAGCCATCGCATTTGGCTTTCTTGCAGGCTGGAAGAGAATCATCATCCCCTTCTGATGGCCGAGCCTTCTTCACTGTCGAAATAATTCCAAAAGCAGTTTTTCTAGTTTCTGTAAAACAAACAGGGAGACCACAGTGCTTGAAGTTAAGACATAATTTGAATGAAGTGGTTTAGAATATTCCTTTGGCTGACAGCATGGCAAAAGATAACCCATAATGAACTGCTCTGGGTGCTGGTCCCCAGCATTGTTGTTGTTTTTTTCCAACATACACAAATAGCAGTGTACTGTTAACATCTAACTCATTCCTAAAGATTACCCCAGGAATGAAACTGCAGCGTTAGCTCTAATGGTCTGTCCATGACACCTTATGCAGCCAGAACTCAAGTGGTAGACACTGGTGCAGCAGATGCTTTGTGCGGTAGAAAGACAGATGGATCAAGGGAGCAAACACAGCCGTGCACTGTGCTCCTCCCATGTGGAATGCTTGCTGGCCTCATTTCACAGCACGCACCTCCTCTCTCACTAGAATGTCAGTGTACATCTGAAGAATCAATTTTCACCCAATCATGGCCTGGTTATGTAACAGGCGCTCGATAAGTACTTGCTGCATGAATATAATCACACTCATAAATGTACTGGTCTCTTATACCACTGGTGACAATGAACAAAGAATAAATAGGTATTAGATGCTTAGATCAGATAAACAGAGTTAACTTAAATTTAGCCAATTTAGGATGAAAACCGACTAGCAGGTCAGGCATGATTTCATATACAGAAAGTATAAAGATGCCTAAGACACTGCACTTTCCTAGGATACATGCATGGGATAAGCACATTAAAAGGAAATACAATAGGAATACAGACACCCACAAGAATTAACTGCCTGGGTGAAGAAATTAGGTATCAAGAAAGGGTGACATTATTAGGGATAGAAAAAAAAAAGGAATAGAAAAGAAAGAAGTAGTCCTTCACAAAGACATGGAGAGAAAGGTAAAAAGAACCCAGGTAAGACTGTTTCAGGGACAGCATGGCTGGTGTAAAGGAGAGAAATGAAAAAACTAGCAGGAAATGAGGCTAGAAGGATAGCTTATGGAAGGCCGTAGTGTCATGAAAAGAGATTCAAACTTTGTCCTCAGGAAATGGAAAGGGATTACAAAGAAGAGAAGATACCCATTTGCTACAGAGGAGGCAGAACCAATATAACTTGATCAACAGAAATTTAGTTAAGAATTACCTCATTTCAAGTAATAAAAGTAAAGTCAAAAGTAAAGTGTTAAGCATTACCTTTCCATTTTTGAGGATTAACTTACCACGTCTACTGAATCTGTCAATTACTTAACAACACTTTTATTTATAAAGGGGATAAAACTGCTCTCAAGGTTATTAAAATGCCAACACAGTAAGAGAATCTCAAAATACAAATTGTCATTGATTTCCATTTCACCAAATGAAAAATGTTGCATTTATACTTAGTTATATCATTATGATTCTGTACTCATAGTCTAAGAATCAGTTGAATGAATAAAAATATAAACATTGTAAAAATCAGTATTTTAACAAAACAAAATGGATTAGTTTCAAAATTATTTTAGTTCCATCTCATAAATGATCTACTCTTCTTATCAAATGGAATATTTACTCCTTAATCTCAGATGATGGATGATAAATAAGTGAACAATAAGACTTTTACAGTTAAAGTAACTTTAGTGTCTTTTAAAAATAAATTCATCTTTTATAATAGCAAGAAGTTACATTTGTGTAAGGCTTTGGCCTATGATGTATTTTCACATATAGTATTTCCTTTCATCATTTTGTCAAGGAAAATGTACAACTAACTATAGGATTATTTACACGTGAACGATTTTGTTCACGAGGAGTTAAGGCAAATGGCCCCAAACAGGTCCATCTAGGTCCAGGGGCTGATTTAGACCATGAACTCTGTCAATCACAGGCCAAAGACTGATCATGAACCTCTTTCCTCTCTCCTTCTCCTACAGTCTCCTCCGAATTCCTATTCACTGGTTTTAGGAGTCTCACAGAACCCGTCTAGTTCTGATTCTCTGTGGTAAGCCCTCCAATGTTGAAAGCCAACTAACTACTATGCATGTCAAGTCTTCTGTCTGCTAGGTACCCAAGCCTGCACTGCACTCATGATTCGTCTCACCATGAGGTTTCTGGACCTTTTAAGGACCTATTAGACATCTTCTGGTGATGTTCCAGTATATCGCTGTCCTTCGTAAATATGGGACTCAGAATGATCCAGATGCCAGCTGAGATTTCATCAGTGAGAGTATAAGAATGAGACTAAATCCCCTTGCTTCAAAATTCGTTATTACTTCTAAGGTATACTAAGCTGAATTAGCAATCTTAAGAACATATCACACCACTGTCTCAAGTAAAGCCACCATAATTATAATTTATCAAGTAATTATAATTTATCATCTAAATAGGGACACTTTTCAGGGATCAGAAGTGTTACTAATTTTACAGGAACAGCAGGCATAAACTAGGACTGAATGCTAATGGCAACTAAAGTCTACATGTCTTCTCTTAGGTTAGCTTCTATAAAATCCTGACTTTATAGATCATATCTTGAATAGATGAATTTTTGTATATAAAAGCTAAGTATATGAATATATATAGTTTCCCTTCCTTGTTTAGTCTATTCTGCAACCCTAATTGTTACCAATTAGGTATAAAGAGTCTTGGTGATTCTTTATGTTTAAAATAGACAAAAATAATGGCAAAATTACCAAAGTATGAACAAATTGTTGCCTAATTTCAATAAAATCTTGATAAAAATCCATATTAATTTGATCATTTCCAGAGCTTATGTGATAAGGTGTATATATATATATATATATATATATATATATATGTATTACATATCTATTATATAGATATATATTACAAATAATCTCAAACTACAAATGTTGAAACTAAAAGCAAAATCATCTAATTTATGATAAGTTAATACAGAAAGCAGTTCTCTCAAGAGGAAATCAGATCAGTAAAATCCAGACACAACACATGAGTTCTCAGACCTCGTCCCTACAATAAATCAAAAAATAAACTTGGCGTGGTAGAGCACACCTGTAGTTCCAGCTACTTGGAAGGCTGAGGCAGAAGGATAGCCTGAACCCAAGCAGGTCGAGGCTGTGATGACCGTGAGTATGCCACTGCACTCCAGCCTGAGTGACAGAGTGAGACTCCAACTCAAATAAATAATAGATAAGTAAATAAATAAACTAACTAGTCATATGACAAATAATTTTGTCTATATGTAGTAACCTATTCTGAGGTTTAAAATTCACCTCAGTGATAGCAACTAAATTGCTTCTTAACCACTAGAACTAGTACTGAAAATTACAGAGAATGAAGACAAAACAGCAGAAGTTTAAGTCGTTTTAATAAAACTGCATTTTCATTTTCTAAAGTTTCAGCACATTTCTTGTTCAATTTTTATCACAGGATGAGTAAGAAATTCAGTGGGTTCCAATAGTGGAATTAAGTAAAGAGGTACATATATGAAATGTGTATAAAAAATGTATAGTCTGCACATACACGACCATGTCAACAAAACTGGGAAAAGAAACACTGAGTTGTAATAAATGCAAAAATTGCAGCCAGAGTTTTGTTAGTCGGGTTTTTTAAAATGTATCTGCTGCTTTTGTTGACCTAATACATCGCTTAACCTATATTTTTAACATCAATTCTCTAAAACAGTGATTTTCAACCAGGAAGCATATCCCTCTGGAGAGGTGGGAGGAGGAAGAAGGAAGACTAGAAGCCTGTCACAATGTGGGTAGCAGCACACATGTCCAGCTTCAAGGAACACATTCACACCCATTTCTGTAACGCAAACTAAATTCATTCCACAAACTACAGAAAGTCAAGCCTGAATGAGGGTGAGAAAGCATGGATGGCTGTGGTGAGAACAGGTTGAGAAAAGATGACCCTAAAGAAACTCACAGGGTAGGATAATAAAAACAGAGATGGCTCAACTGTTCGATAAAAACGTCTGGTTTCCAACATGAGCATTCAGTTTTTTTCCAAAAGAACTAACTCACCTCCATGAAGAAGTGTAGCTCGGCAGTTGGTGGATACTGCAGCCTTGGCATCACTTTCTGAGAGCCCAAACAGTAGTCCTCTGGTGGGGCCGTTAAAGATTTCAGCAGAGTCAGTGAAGGACACAGACTAACACAGACATGACTGAAAATACCAGCTAACCTCAGCATACTGAAAAAATAATTAAGCCTACAGCAGTTCTTAGCCCAACTAAAACATGGGTCTGAGAAGAGACTCCTTTTTTTTTTTTTTTTTGAGTCAGAGTCTCACTCTGTCACCCAGGCTGGTGAGCAGTGGCACATTCGGTCACTGTAGCCTCGACCTGCTGGGCTCAGGTGATTCTTCTGCCTCAGTCTTCCAAGTAGGTGGAACCACAGGTGCATGCCACCATGCCCGGCTAATTTTTTTGATTTACTGTAGAGACAAGGTCTCTCTATATTGCCCAGGCTGGTCTTGAACCTCTGGGTTCACACAATCCTGTCTCTGCTTCCTAAAGTGCTGGGATTACAGGCATGAGCCACAGCATCCGGCTGAGACTCCTTTGACTCTAGGCTTTTATTATATAAAGCCCCTCATTACCCCTTTTTAACTCCAAAAAACAAGAATGACACTCTCTACAACCTGATATAACTTGGTTTTGAAGCTATTAATTGGTAAACATACAGTAAAAGGTTAAGAAAAATATGTTAAACTATAATAGTATTTCAAATTCCAAATTTCCTATAATAAAATTTCAATGTTTTCTTACTCAGAAAAGGATACAGGTTCGCTACATCATATGGTCCTCTTATTTCTAAAGGCTGAAATAAAACGAACACAAAGCAGATATGAGAGAAGTTATTCATAACATTTCAATAACTTTGTTTACAGTAAATTAAAGGATACTTAAGTATCTGAAAATAAAAAAGTTAATTGCATAAATTGAAGTCCTTGTAATTTTGATGAGTTTTGAAAATTCTGAAAATATAAAAGGACCTTGAAAAGCATTTTGTAACAATATAAAGGAAAAACGATTTATATAAACAACATTTAAAGTCTAAAGAGAATGGGGATAAATTTTCCCCTTCAGCAGTTATGATAAGCAAATGCATCATTAAAATAGAAGACATGCAACAAATATTCATTACATTATTATTTTAATTTCTCCCCTAGAAACTGCAATGTTTTATAGCTTGAAAAATGGGAACAAAGTATGTCACGCTAGACTTACCCTTTCTGCAGCACTAGATATAATTATATTCTAAAAAATAGAAAGTGATCAATATTAATTGTAAATAAATGTTAAAAAAAAGGAAGAATCTCATAATACAAATAACTAGTAATCACACTTTAGCATTTAAGGCTCAAATACCAACTTCTTTTAAAGATAAGGTAAATAACTAACGTGAAAAAAGAAAGGCTTCATATTAAACGAAAGATGTTTACTGCACCATTATTCACAATCGCAAAAACATGGAACCGACTGTGCTGCCCATTGAAAGTAGACTGGATAAAGAAAATGTGGTACCTTTACATAATGGAATATTATACATCCATAGAGAAAAAAAAATATGCATTTTACAGCAACTTGGATGCAATTAGAGTCTATAATACTCAATGATTTATCACAGAAACAAAGATCTGAATACTACATGTACTCCCTCATAAACAGATCCTGAACATTTATCATAATACTATAAGAAAGGGATTGGCAGTAGTGGGACACTGCTGGGGGGGTGGTGCATAGCATCAATAAGGGTACCCAAACTTTACCTGTACAATGACCACTTATGTACCTAACCCTGAATTGGACCCTGCATCTTTAAAATAAAAATAAAAGAAATAAAATAGCTTTTCAAAAGAAATCTTAGTAAAGATGAATTAAGCTTAAAAAACTAGATGAAAAGGTCATACAAACTTAATTCAATTCACTGATGACAATTGTCTAGCCTTATTTTCACAGTATGTAAATTGAAAATTCCTTATCAAAAGATAAAGGCTTTCAACACACCTTTTTCTCTCTTATATTATTCTGCTCTTGATATTTTTCTTTCCCTTAAAACTTACAGAGCTCATAGAATTTTGCCCCTGTGCCTTGAGAACATTACATCTTAAGGAAAACAAATCAGTTTCACAATTCCAGTGTATTAATAATAATAAACTCCCAGATGTGAAAAACATTCTAAAATATAGAACCATACCTTTCCTTTGCAGATCTGTGTCAAATTGAGGGCATTGGAAATTGTGTACCTTCTCATTGTAGAGTCTTTGATAGCAGGACTATAGACAAGTTCAAAGCCCAGGCCTCGGTCAATTGCCTGCACAGAAAATAAAGAAAATAAAACTGTCAAACATAAACACACGCTGTCCTACTTAATTTTCACTAAAGTCTCCCTAACTTCCATCCTCACCCCTGCCACCCACATCTTACATGCCAAGGGTACAATTCTTTTTTTTTTTTGAGCTGGAGTCTCACTGTGTCGCCCAGACTGGAGTGCAGTGGCTGCTCCTGGTCACCGCAGCCTTGACCTGCTGGGCTCCGGCGATCCTTCCACCTCAGCCTTCTAAGTAGCTGGAACTACAGGCGCGCGCTACCACACCCTGGCTAATTTTTTGATTTATTGTAGAGATGAGGTCTCGCCAAGTTGCCCAGGCGGGTCTCAAACCCGCGGGCTCAGGCAATCCACTCACCTCAGCCTCCCAAAGGCGAGGGATTACAGGCTGAGCCACCAAGCCCGGCTCAAGGGTATAATTCTCAACAAAGACAGATTCATGTCCAAATGGTACCATCCACAAGCAGAAAACAGATCTGTGGCTCTGTCTGATCAATGGAGTTTATCTTAGCTGTAGGAAAGCTGACCTTATATAAACAGGAATCATGAAAAGGCTAAGGAGAGCAAAGTCTCAGTGGGGTGGTGGCGGGGCCTTTACTCCATGAACTACCGAAAGGAAAACTCCCTACACTTAGGGTAACTGTATGCAAACACAGTAAACCAAGTAATCTGACTCACAAATGAAGAGAAAAAGACATGAAGAGCTGAAAAAGCCCAAATAACTGGGGGCAGGAAGGTCTCTAGTAAGCCACTTATTACCTATAAGTTGAATGCTAGAATAACAACAGCCATGGTTAGCTGAGTGTTAAATATGTTCCAGGCACTGTGTTAGGACTCTTATGTACATATTTAATCCTTACAAGACCTTGATAAGGCACTGTAGCAGAGAATGCTAATTATCCAGACATGCGTCCTCTCCTTTTTCTTTAGTACAAAGCGCCAGTTTTTAGCTGGGCTTATGGTTGCCCAGAAGAAAAGATGGAAGAAGCCCAGGCATTTGATGATTTTGCTCAGCTTACCACACAAGCTTGGCCTTTTGTCTGAGAAAAAGAAAGTTAAATACAAAAGTTCCTTCATATTTAATGTACTCTTACTACCCAGAAACTCCCAGCTAAGAAAGCCTGGAAGGGGTTTTGGGAAATGGGATAGAATTCAACCACTATGTTATTTGGTTTCTCTGATGTGTATCTCAACATCTTCATTCAGCCACAACAGATAAGTTTTAAGTCCACTATGTGCAAAAGCTGAGATGGTTCCTCCCCCTCTAATAGTGGGGGAGACCATCAAATAATCAGACAAAAATAAAACTGCAACTGTGATAAGTGCTATCGAGGAGAAGTCTGGGAGTGGGTGAGGAAGCAATTAAGTAGAGGATGGTGTGTTTTCAGAGAGGAAAGAGGCTGTGAAAGGCTCTGGGGCTGCAGCATGGTAGCACCCAGAGGTTAAAGGCTGAAGAGGAAAGAACGAAGGAGACAGGCTAAAGAAGCTGGGAAGGGCTGACTATGCAGGCCTCTACAGCTGGTGAGGAGGATTCTCCTAATAGCAAGAGAAAACATCTGATGGATTTTTAGCACGAAGGTGATGATTAGACTTGTAATTCCAAGTCATTTGGGTTGCAGCAGTCTTCTAAATGAATAAAGGAAGGATGGAAGGCACAGTCCACGCAGTGTGGTCCAAGTCTCTGCCTGGCAAATGAGTTTCTATTACTCAGTTGATGAGCGGAACTGGCCCAGCTATAGCTATTGGGGGTTTCTACCGAGTTCATAGGGAATGAAGAAACCCGTCTTCTTCCCAAACTGGCAGTCTACCTTTATTTCATTCACTTGCACCCTGAAGGTCCCTTCTACTTCTCTGTCCTGAAAACAGATTTTCTTTCTTCCACTCCCATTTCTTTTCCTTCTATTTCCCTTCTTCCCTTTATTTAACTCTCCCTTTGGCTTTAAGGCTCTCAGATTTTATTTTCAATTTTCCTATATGTCTGAGTCTAGTTTAGTTAGAATAATATTTTTTCCCACACTGCAACCTTCCCCTCTTGCATTTTTTTGACAACTTTTCCCACCTCTAGTTCTCTGATTTGTGCTGGTTATTTCTAGGAATGAATACTCCTTCTGCCATAGTTAGATGTACACCTCACTTTCTCTGCCAACCTTGTACACTTCTTGAGAAGTATACACTTCTTTGTAACACACAATTGACTTTTACACAAAACATGTATATTTATATTTTGAGTGCATAAATGGTAACTTATGACAAAGAGCTCATGTGACAATGCTGTTCATTATGGATTATTCATCATGCAAGGAACCATGATGGACTAAGTTAACTGAAATCCACAAACAAAAACACTGCCATTGCCATATTATCAACTAGCTCCTTGGCTATTTATTTACTAAAACTACTAATTAGCTGAAGAGGCTGACATATTTCTTTTCCTCATCTTTCTAGCTGCAGAACTACAACAAAAAGCAGTAGGATGACGAAAAAGCAAAAATAAAAGATGTGAATGATATATAAAATTACATGACCAGATCCCACAGTATTCCTAATTGCCTGAATCTAAATTTCTAGATCCTTGTGGGGACTAGATCAAAATAAAAACTTATTTTAGGGGGGAGGAGAGAAAAAAAGATAAAATTTCAGCTCAATTATTTTTAAGAAAAACATTTCTGATTTTGATCTTGGTACATTAATCAAGCTCACTTTAAAATAACTCTTGAAAAATAAGAAAGATAATATGCTATTGAAGGCTGTGAATATTTAGTTCATAGCACCTTATTTTAAATTTTTAGATAAAATACAGACATTACCTGGGCTCCTGCTTCTGAGGCTATTTTAATGCAAATTGCCTTAAGCTCATCAAATGATTATTCATAACAGTCTATTCATTACAGTGCCTGCCTGATTAGCTTTTGTTCTCATGTCTGACCAAAGGTCCTGGCATAGGTGGATCATCAGATTTCTCTACTAATGAGAAGTAACAGTCATAAAAGATGCTTCCAAGGGCAGGTGTGTGATACTTGAATCAAGCAACACTGGCAATAAAATTCCAAGTACTGAGCAGAGATTTAGAGAAAGAAGAGAAATAAAAAGGAAGTTGATTACTGGGACAATATACCAATTCCCTGTTAATTTCATAAAAATCAGCTCTTTATTGAATTCAAATGGATGACATTTGTTTGGTGAATCATTCTTTAAGACAGGTAATTTGTTCACAGGATTCACAAATCAAAGCAACATAAAAAAATAAAATAAAAAGTCTTAGTTGCATCTCTGTTCCCATCTGCCCCCTTCCCTCCTCTCATAACCACTTTTATTAATTTCTTGTGTCTTCCTCCAAAGTTTCTTCATATAAATATAAACAAATATGAATATATACTACTTTCCCTCTTTCTTCCCCAAAAGGTAGTCCGCTACCTCCTTATCCTGGCTTGAAATCTTTTTTCCAACTCAGCTCATAACTACTTCATTTTATTTTATAGCTGCATAGTACTGTAAAGATATAGCATTCATTTAACCAAGCCTCTACCAATAGGCCTTGAGTTGTTTCAACGCATCTGTAGAATAAACACTAAAGTGAACTTGCTGGCATTATGGGATGCATTGTGTCCCTGTTTATAAAAGACATGTTGCCGGGCTCGGTGGCTCAGCCTGTAATCCTGCGCCTTTGGGAGGCTGAGGTGAGTGGATTGCCTGAGCCTGTGGGTTCGAGACCCGCCTGGGCAGGCGAGAGCTCATCTCTACAATAAATCAAAAAAATTAGCCGGGCGTGGTAGCGTGCGCCTGTAGTTCCAGCTACTTGGAAGGCTGAGGCGGAAAGATCGCCAGAGCCCAGCAGGTTGAGGCTGCAGTGGCCGGAAGCAGCCACTGCACTCCAGTCTGGGCGATAGTGAGACTCCAACTCAAAAAAAATAAAATAAAATAAAATAAAATAAAAGCCATGTTGAAGTCGTAACCCTCAGTACCTCAGACTGTAACCGTAATTGGAAATAGGGTCACTGCAGATGTAATTAGTGAAAATGAGGTCCTACTGGAATAGGGTAGACCCCTAATCCAGTATGACTGGTGCCCTTATAAGAAGAACAATTATCATAATTCTATAAGAAAGGGATTGGCAGTAGTGGGAAACTGCCAAAGGAAAGAAGGGGCACACCTCATCAACAAGGGTACCTGCATAATGAACATTTGTATACCTAAACCTGAATTGTACTCCACATCTTTAAAATAAAAACTTTAAGAGTTAAAAAAAAAATAAGAAGATGGCCACGTGAAGGCAGAGACACACAGGGAGAACACACTGAAAAGATAAAGGCAGAGATTAGAGTTATGTAGCTGCAAACCAAGGATTACCAGGTTGCCAGAAAATCATCAAAAGCTTAACAGAGGCAAGCAAGGACTTCCCCACACATCTGAGGGAACATAACTGTGCTGACATCTTGATTTCAGATTTCCAGCCTCTAGAACATTGAGACAATACATTTCTGTTGTTTTAAGCCAGTAAGTATATTTGTAATGTTAATACTTATTGCCAAATTACCCACTCCCCCCATAGGGACTGTTCCAATTTACACTGCTAGAAGCAAAGTATAAAAGGATGCTTGTTTTCTCCCACCTTGCAACAGAGTATCACTAGTCACATATGCATATGTGATTTTCATATGAAATTCTCTTATTATGGTGAATTTAAGCATATGTTTAAGGAGTGTTTGTATTTCCTTTCCTGTGAAATGTCTTTTTTATATCTTTATTCTACTTTTTAAAATTGTTCATCCTTTTAAAAAACCTTATCAATTTCTAGGCGCTCTTTATATATTAAGGGAATTAGCCTTTTGTCTATGACATAAGTGAAAATATTTCCAACAGTTTGTTATTTATCTTTTAACTTTGTTTCTTGTGAGTTTCTTTCTTTCTTTTTTTTTTTTTTGCTGCCCCTCATCTTTTTTGAGACATTTTTGAGACTAGCAAGTTTGCTGGCATGGATGCTTGCACTGGATGGACAAAGTACTTAACAACATTTAAGTTCACACGTGATGGAAAATAAAGTTTATAGAGTACTCACACTCAAATCAAGTATATATAGCATGATTCTTGGAACTACATCACTGCTTTAGACATTACCTACTAAACATCTCTCAGTGGGAACTAATTGGACCATGAAGATAGAAATGGATTAAGGTTAAAGGAAGAGCTGAGGAGAAAACATCAGAAAGTGTGCAAACAAAATATGCTCCTTGAAAATAACTCAATAAACTTGAAGTCATTGTTGACTGACAGTAACACTGAAATGGAAATAACACTGAAAAAAATCAAAGGGGAGGTAAACATATGTGCTGCTTTAAGAAAATTCTTCTCAAAACCTGAATTCATAAAGCTTGTGTTTTAAAATATGAAATTATTCTGTACTTAACAAAGAGTTCTCCTGTAAAGTAACTTTAAATAGCATTTCCCAGTAGGAAATGACAGTAGATTTGGAATCAAAGCTTAAGTACAAATCTCTAGTCAACTCTTTGAGAGACATTTAACTGTGTGAGCCACACTACCTGAGACTCAATTCTATTACCAGCATAAGGAGATAACTAACATGATTCTACCTCAAAGCTCCTGGGCCACAGCAGGTGTGAACGTGTTAAAATTATAAAATGCAAAATAACTAGAAGTCATGTGATCATCCAAGAAGAGAAGTAGAATCCAATTTTTTAGTGACTCATCGACCACATGACAGAGTTGTGAGGTCCATACAAATTACTTAGACTCCAGAGAGCTTTGCAGGAGATTTTGGAGGGAATTGCATAATTGAACTTATGAAGCCCTGAGCATGTGGTGAAGATGACAAAAGGAAGGAGAGTTGCAAATCATACAAATGAGTGTTTGGGTATACTCTAGAGCTCCTGGGCCCTCCTTTACAACCCCCAACTTCTGAGCTGATGATTCTCACACAGCACCTGGCCTAGAGGTAAAAGACTAATGAATTACCTATCTTCATACTCCTGCTTTTTGCCACAATGAAAGAAAAGGGCCCAAATCCTAGCCAAATTAAGATCTGTGCTGTTTTCTAAAGTGCCCAATAAAGTGATCTTTATAAAGTCAATCTGTCAACTTCTCAAGGCCAACGACTGGTTGGTTCATGCACAAAGCCAAGGGCGCATGCAAAAACCAAGACTTAAGATTGAACTATCACCCACAATCACTACATGCTCTGTGCTTACACAGTGTATATATTGTCATGCTTAAATGTAGACACACAACTCCATGTTCAGATTAGATATTATGTGACAAACAGTATACACCTATCCAACTATTATTTACCCTGTACAAGTTGGACACCTGTCTCCAGCTCTTTAACAAAAAACAGGTGAATACATTAAAAAGGACTTTTCTGCTTCCTGACCAATTCATACTGCAGCCTACTTCTGTACTAGATGATGACTAAAAATAATCTTGTGCAGCCTTTCCTTCTACTCCATCATCTAGTTTTTATTAAACAACATATGTAAAACGTTCACACCAGATTTTCTTTTTTTTAAAAGCAGACACTCTGTTAAACTGCGTATTCCTCTCACTTGTCAAAATTTTTACTTTTCAGAATCCTTAAATTGAAAAATGTGGGCATTAAGCCAAAAATATCCATCGAACAACAGCAGCTCTCCTGAACTTCCAGATGGAATCGGGGGTGGGATGTGCTGGTGTCGCTGTCCCAAGTGCCATGTTCCTCCTCATGCTGTCCCAGTTCCCCACTTCCCTCACTGTGTGTGCCTCATGCTGAATGCTGACACCCAGCTGATGACTTATGTCAAGCAGAATGTGGCCAGGTTTCCCAAGCTGTACCCTAATATGCTATGTTCGACATATACTCACTCAATGAACACACTTTAGGAAGGACTCATCGGCAAGATATTGTGGTAATTAAAAAAGGGCCACTGGTTGGGCGTGGTGGCTCAGCCTGTTATAAATCCCAGCACTTTGGGAGACCACGAGAGGATTGCCTGAGTCCAGGGGTTCGAGATCAGTCTGGGCAACTTGGTGAGACCTCGTCTCTACAATAATTCACGAAAACTAGCCAGGTGTGGTGGCATGTGCCTGTAGTTCTAGCTACTTGGAAGGTTGAGTCAGAAGGATGGCCTGAGCCCAGCAGGTTGAGGCTGCAGTGGCTGAGTATGCCCCTGCACTCCAGGTGACAAGAGTAAGACTCCAACTCAAAAAATAAATAAATAAATAAAAAAGGACTATGACACAGTTGGTGCTCTCTAGAAGCTCACAAACTGGTTTGAATAGTAAGACATGTTCAGAAGAAACCCAGGGAAAAACCCTCACCAAAATAGCCACTGGGGATTTTACCACAGCTGTGGGACATGAAGAGTTATGTGCAGTGCACTGCAGTCTACTCCATGGACTTGGCCTTACCACTGCATGCCACTACCTCCTCCCAACCAAGGATTCCGTTTATGTGGACCTACTCAGGCACAGCTGTCTAAAAAATGGCCTTCCTAGTCATTAAGGTGAAGAAAAAGGTGGAAAAGTTACAAGTTTACTAGCCATGTGCAGAGTGGCTGCACTAACTCTGGGAGTGCTTCTTACAAAGAACCTGCAGTGACAGTCGGAGGCTGGTAAAAAGCTTAGGTAAACTCCTAAAGACAGAGATTGCTACCTCTGGAGAGGAACAATATGTGGGGCCAACAAGACTGTGATAAACTTGAACACTGTATTAGCCTATAGCTTCTATCAGGGGAACCTGGGGCACATTAGAGGTTCTCATAGGCAATCAATCAGAGCTTTCCTAACCCTGAGACCAAACAGCTGATGACTCTGAGCCTTCATTTCCCCCTATTTGATAAATGAGTCACTGAACAATATAGATTCTAACTCTAAAATGTGGTGATTCAGGGTTTGTTTTTTTTTAATGTTTACTGGTTTATTTATAAGTACTGGCACCAGCACAGGGAACCAATGATTTGAGCATAGCCAGTAATGTTATGTTCAGTAATACTCTCAATGTTCACCAGACAAAAACCGCTTTCTTTTATATTTTTCCCCTTAAATATGTAACTAGGTATTTTTGGCATTTCTCAATTTTGTTTTTTCTTTTCTTTTCTTTTTTTTGAGTCGGGTTTTCACTCTGTTGCCCAGGCTGGAGTGCAGTGGCACAATCATGGCTCATCACATCTTCGACTTCCTGAACTCAGGGAGATCCTTCTACCTCTGCCTCCTGAGTAGCTGGGACTACAAGCATGTGCCGCCATGTCTGAATAATTTTTGTTATTTTTTGTGGAGACAAAGTCTCACTATTTTTCCCAGGCTGGTCTCAAACTCTTGGACTCAAGCAATCCTCCTGCACTGGCCTCCTAAAGTGCTGAGATTACAGGTGTGAACCACAGTGCCCGGCCTCAAAGTATAGTTTCAATAGCATATTTTTAGGACTGAAATACAAGTCAACTTAAAGTTATCCACACTAGATTAAATTTTCATCCACCAACTAGAACCATTTTCTTCCTCCATTGTCTCCCCCTAATTTTCAGTATCAAGCCAATTCTTTAGCAGAACAGGGAAACAAAAATCGAGGGAGTTATGATTCCACAGAGACAAAAAACAAGTGAATTATCCACTTGGAAACAAACAATTTTTAAAAAATTTGAATGTCCACTCCTGACAGGATTGGATATGTAATTTCAGTTGTGTTTGCTAAACTCTTTTTCTCCTTGGATGGTGGTTTTTGAGAATAGGAGACTGAGTATAGAGTTTTGGAAGTCACTATTTTAAAATAGCATCCCAACTCTTCCTAGGATCTGGCTGGCAAACCAAATAGTTAACAGCTGTGCTGACCTCATAGCTACCAAAATAGTTGCTGGTGTGAAATAATATCACCTTTATGATGGAAATGGGAGGAGACTAAGACTTAAGAAGGTGTGACAGATGGAAGATAAAGGTATACAGGAAAGCCAAAGAAAACTATGTAGAAGGGTAATGAGAAACATTCCATAGCAGAAGGAGAAACAAAAACATTCTCTGAACACATGGCCACCTGTTAGGTTAATAGAAAACCCTGGGCTTTTAATTTTGCACAGACCATGCCTAGGTGATTCCATGCCCTGCTCCCTCTCCTTAGCTTGCTGGTACTTTAGGACACTGTTTTTGTTTCTGTTTTCCTTTCCCTTGTTTTTTGATTGCTTTGTTCCCTTAATGTTCAGTGTTCAGGCTGTAAGCACCCATTATTATTGCTACCCTCTTAAGAAATATCACTGATAAATTTTAGTTTCTAAGGCCTCTCAAAAATATCTCACTAATTGGATGTCTTTTATTTTAAGCTTTCTTTCTCCCTTTAGTCATCTTATAAAACTAAGACTCTCTTTTCTAAAATCGCCTCCTATTTTCTAGTATTTGCTTTGCTCTCCAAAGACACTGGTTTCTCCTCCTTTCCCATTAGTGAATCTAAGTTTTTACAGATTCAATTGCAGACTGGGCAGTGTAACACTTACCACATTAATAGGGGGTCTTTTGAAATAAAAGGGTAGCTTCTCTGTTACAGTTATGCAGACCAAATCCACATCTAAATGTGTGCAAGCAACCTGTCAAGAAGAAAAAATAGGTAAGGCCAAAAGATAAATTGGTACAAGTAAGAATGGGAGACAGGGTCAAACTAGAAAGAAAGAAATACACATGTTGTTCACTCCATAGGTGTTTTATGGTTCTGTGTTCAAACACACATGACCTTTTACAAAGTCAACTGTTCAACCATTTATTCAGGTTTGGTTTAAACGGTTTAACTGTCATCCAGCTGAAACAGAGTGAGATATCCACAGACATTCTCAGAAGACAGGGCGTGGAGATCCTCTAACTCAAATAGTCTTCTAAATAGGATGGGTTGCTGAGTGAGGCTGTTTCTAGAAGGTTATGTCAGATTGTTCCAGAAGGAAGAAATGAACTGTTCAAAAATCTGAAGGAAAAATAAGCCAAAAGGAATGTATGCATGGTCCATTTATTCCACAAATGATTTTATTGAGCACTTCATGCCAGAACTGTCCCAGGGCTGTGGCCCCTATTAGTCTACTGAGTGCCTAAAGAAACGAACATAACTCTACTGATGGCATTTTATTCAAATACTAATAGAATGAGTTTACATAAAGGATTGAAGCAGAGCTGTTACAAATCAAATGATGATAAATGCAGGTTTTCAACTTTTTATTTCCCTTTTCTTTGTTCTAATTTTTGCGATTACTTGTTGATTACAATACTCTGCATTGACTTCTAAAATGGGTTTGAAACTGCTCACAAAAACTACATACAAGATAAAATAAACAGACAAGAAAATCAGTTTAAAAAAGTCAGGGAGAAAGATGAAGCTGGGGTAAGGTTACTAGTGCAGGGTGCCAGGCAGAAGATACTGCCAGAAGATGCATATCTGGCTTTGATTTTGTCATTATTTGATTTATAGTGATAAAAAAAATTGGCTGTTATGTACTACATTAAAAATAAGCCTTAGTGACAATGCTACCATGTACAGGCTTGATGAACAAATTCCAACTGCCAGGATGACTATGCTGGCACACCAGCCTCAGCAGCAGAAAGGGCAGCATAAGGGAGATGAAGAGAGGGTCATAATGACTTGCAGGATTGGCACCAACCTTCAGCAATGACTGGAACAATATACCTTACCCTTTGCTTCAGAATCCTTACTTCACTCACTCCCACTCCCTCCCCAGGGCTTTAGGAAGCAAGTAGCCATCAGAGGCTGCCTGGCTCCAAGATAGTCATAGTAACTCAGTAAGTCTGGGAAGCGATGCTGCTTGGGTAGAAATACTTGACCCAGAAAGAATCTGCCCCATGCCCACTGCCACAGCTGTCCAGTTCATAAAAAAACATTGAAAATTGGGTAAGAATGGATGCAGAAAAGCTCTGAAGAGTAACTAAAACAAGCTTAGCTTTTGCTCACTATTTTTTAGCTACAAGACTGGCAAAGATCAAAAAGTTCAGTAATATACGACTGACATGAGAATGAAGAAACAGGCACTTACAGGGTCCAAGTACAAGGTCTTGAAAAGCATTATCAATGGCTAACAAAATTTTAAATGTACATAGCAGTAGTTTCACTTACGGGAACGTATTCTATAAAGACTCTAGAAATACATTCTATAACTATATACCTTACAAGGTCTCAAGGGCATTAGTGCAAGGACAGTCACTGCAATATCAATCACAAAAGACTAGACACAATTAAACATCCCTCAATTTTACTTAAATAAATAATGATCTCTTTAGCAATGGAATATGCCAACCCCTTAAAGGGAAAGAGGTACTTCTCTAATTGATATTATGGAACATTCTTCAAAACATAGTATAAGGTGAAAAACGCTTGATGGTAGGAAGGGAAAAAAGAGGGAGGAGAATGAAGGAAAGACAGACAAGGTAAGTTGTATTTCTGAAAAGACACACAAGAACTGTTACTAGTGTTGCCTCTGGAGAAAAGAGAAAGGGAGGAAGGCATACTTTTCACTGCATACTTCTCTATACTGTTTGAATTTATTATCATGAATTTACTCTTGCAGTAAAATAAGCTGATTAACTTCTAAAAAGCCTATTAAACATTCTCCCCAGAATAAAGCTAAATTAGGTTACTTTTTACTTATGTATTGTTCATTTCTTCCCCGCCCCGCATGTAAGAGAGGCCAATTAAACAAGGGACCTGTGTTGGTTTAATAACAAACTTTTAGTTACAAAGGACACCTCCACCTTAAAATATCCCAAACTGAAGTCTTCTGTTATTTAGCTTTTAAACCAAATGTTTTAACTGATATATTTAGATAACCACAAAAGATGTTCACACTCTAATGAAATACTTTCTACATCATTAAAAGAGATTAAATTATGCCCAATATAGCTTTAGGGTTAAGATGCTTACAATGGTTTTCTCTGCGACTGGTAGGCTGCATCCAATTCATCAGTTGTCCTTAATCATTTTTTTTTTTTTTTTTTGCTAGAGACCCTTAAACAATTGAAGGAAAGTGTATTCCCATAAAAATGCACACATCTATGACACAAAGGAAAAAGGAGGGTAGGCCTTCACATTCTCCACCTGCCCCCCCCCCACCTGGGGCCCCTTTTCAGGATGTCAGGTTAATACATGGTATTATAAATACATTGGTCTGCGGTGGCCATGAGCATGCCACTGCACTCCAGCCTGGGCGACAGGAGTAAGACTCCAACTAAAATAAATAAATAAATAAAAATAGATAATTAAATGCATCGATGTTTATGATACATTATGAAAAGGAGAGTCAGGCTTCCCAAGGGAAAAGAGAGATGTCCACGAACACTGGTTCTCAGTCTTAGTGTATACAAAATTCCCCTGAAGAATTTAGCAAAACTGGAGAGAACCAGGTCCCACCTACAGTGACTCATTCAGTAATTAGGGCCTAACAACCTGCATTTCAACAAATATTCCAGGGAATTCCAAAGCCAGTGGAACCTAACCACATCTTGAAACACTGGGACACTCTCTTCCTCAAGGTCCCTTACAATAGTGCTCTGCAAAGGGGAGGCATGTATTTTAGGAGCAGAGAGAAAACAGAACTTCTATTTCCTTTTATTTTTTAATTCACTCTTTTAGAATTATTTTGTTGTATATATATTCTTTTCTTTTCTTTCTTTCTTTTTTTAAGAAAGGATTTATTGAGAGGACAGAAAAGCTCCCCCAGTGGGAGGGGATCCGAGGGGGTTGCCTGTATGTACATTATTTTCTAAAGCACACTGGTATAATGGGACGTACAAATAATTCTCCTTAACCTGCTCAAGTGCTGTAAAACCTAAATGGGAATAACTGACTTAGAGGCTCCTGAAGATTCCATGCACCTCTTGCTCTGTCATATCCCACAGTTGCTTCCATCCCAAAGATCCCTGATGAATGAACTCACTCACAATCTTTTTTTTTTTTTAAGTTGGAGTCTCTCACTCTGCCTCCCAGGCTGGAGTGCAGTGGCACATTCACGGCCACCACAGCCTTGACCTGCTGGGTTCAGTCTTCCAAGTAGCTGGAACTACAGGCACGTGCCACCACGCCTGGCTAATTTTTTAATTTATTGTAGAGATGAGGTCTTGCCAGGTTGTCCAGGCTGGTCTCAAACCTGTGGGCTCAGGCAATTCTCTCACCTTGTCCTCCCAAAGTGCTGGGATTATAAGCGTGAGCCACTGCACCTAGCCTCACTCACAATCTTTAATCTTTGGCCTTATTCCCTGGGTCAGCTATGGGGAAGAAGGGTTTCTTATCTACAAGACATCTTCCAGACACTCTGAGTGAAAAATAGTATGTTATTTCCTATGGTAATGATGCTACTTAAGGTGGTTAGATTTTATACTACTAACTGTTGATGTACATATGTGTGCATGCCTCATCTTACAGATCTAACTTAATTCTAAAATATCACACCTATGGAGATGTGCATTAGAATTTTAGATAATCAACTTACAAACAAAATAAAATCACTAATAGAATGGGCTGTGAAACGTGGGCAACAGGCACTGGGAACACTGCAGCAACGGCACAGCTTCGGGTGCTCACCTTACCTTCTAAGCGTCTTGATAACTCTCACCTCAATCAGTGAAAGAATCAAGTCTTGTCAAGCTGGAGAGTACTGGGTGGGGAAATGAACAGCAGCAATATCCCCGACACTCTTCTTTCCTTCTGCAACTCCTCTGGGTGCATGGTAGACACAGTCTGACCTTTGGTATCAGACTGAACTGGCTGTGAGCCCTGGTCACAGGAGGGGACCCCAAGAAGCAGTGGAATGGGATTTAACAAGCACAGGAGACCAACTGGGCCCGGTTAACTTAGGAATGTAACCGTTAAACCACAAACTTCTTGCATTTGACCTGATTCCAAACCATGGTCTACTTACAAAAGCTTTATAATTAAAAGAAAGATGTCCTTTAAAGTGGATTTTCTATAAAAAATAGGAGAAGCCAAGCCGGGCTCGGTGGCTCAGCCTGTAATCCCGCGCTTTTGGGAGGCTGAGGTAAATGGATTGCCTGAGCCCGCGGGTTTGAGACCCACCTGGGCAGCGAGAGCTCATCTCTACAATAAATCAAAAAATCAGCCGGGCGTAGTAGCACATGCCTGTAATTCCGGCTACTCAGAAGGCTGAGGCGGAAGGATTGCCGGAGCCCAGCAGTTCGAGGCTGCGGTGGCCGGGAGCGGCCACTGCACTCCAGTCTGGGCGACAGAGTGAGACTCCAACTCAAAAAAAAAAAAAAAAAAAAGGAGAAGCTCTAACTTCAACTGAATCCTAAAGAATGGGTAGTATTTGGACAGAGAAAAAGATGATGTTCCAATTTTAAAAACTGTGTTTTTATATAACTTTTTAAGTATATCTGTACAGTTAATGCCCTGCAAATTATTTATAGCTTTCTTCTGACTTTCAAAATGTTTCTGACTGCTGCACCCACCATCATAAAGCATGTGTTAAGCAATTTCAAGCTTGAATAGTCTGAGAAAAACAGTAAAATAAAGAAACTACTAGATCAAATTATAATATATTCTAAAACCCCAAAGTCCTACCTTTATAACATACTTGTTGGAAGATTTAGAATAAATCATTCAGCCCAAGTCTCAGTTTTCTCCTCTATAACATGGGGATAGTGTCGAATACCTGTCCCAATTATCCTATAGGTCTGTTGTGAAAGTTAAAGGAAATACACATGTAAACGTCTTTGGAAGGTTATATGAGTATACGCTTTTCAGCCAAAATATTACTGAAGTTGTTTTTTCCTAATTACCACTAGAGGGATATGGAAAAATAAGTTGTATGATCTTCAAAATTAATCCAGAAATCAAATGTACAACAAAAAACTTGGTATATCACCAGGTTTCACCTTTTAGTCTAATCATGACTGAGTTGCTATTATCTCATGACAAAACTGAGTTGCTGCTTGTTGTTCAATAAATTTGGAAATGCCCATGCTCCTCCTTATATTGTACACCAGTGGTTTCAGCACCGAATTATACCTTCCCATGGAAACCAAGAGTCTCCAGGGGTGAGGGCTTGAATGTGCCTGACTTTAGAAAGTTCTATGGAGCCTTTGAAATCTAAAAATCGCTTGCTTCTACTCACCCCCTTAACTAAAACAAAATTCTTGAGAATTAGTATAACTGAGCATTTTTAAAGGAAGTAAACAAACAAAAAAAAGGCAGGCATCCGTGTATAATTTGTGCTGTTTCCTTCTACTCACATAAACAATTAAGAATTGATAGTACGCCTTGAAGCCTAAATTTACCATACATCAGCTTCTTTAGTCAATAGCTCCATCTACTGGGTAAACGTAGAAAAACTCTTTCTATGATTTTAGAACAGATTTTGCTTAAAAAAAGAATTGCTGTAAAATTAAAATATCAAAGACCAGGCTGGTCCAAAGGTAGTGAGTTGCCTTTTGGCAGATGGATCCTTTTTGAGCCTAGATAAAGACAACTTTCAGAACTTTCTAAAAGTAGCTATACCTCATTTTACACAAAGTGCATTAGAGTTTTTTTTTTTCTTTACTATAATCATTTAGAATGTCCAGGGTGTTCTGTCTCAAGTTGACAAAATACTCATACACATTAAGCTTCTTTCCCTCCTGCAAAGGCAATAAAATGGCAATTTTAAGAGTACAAAAGAAATTTAATTCATAAAGGCTCCCCGAATAGAAAGGAGGATTATATCAGCAGATGATTGATTTTGTAAACTTTTTGAAGTCTAAAGGCCGAGATGATCCTGTTGGCATATGGACTATACCTCAGAGATGCAAAGGAGGTTGCAAAAACAGAGGTGGGAGCTTTTATACTACAGCAGAATCTCTCCTCTCTCTCCCCTCACAGGGAGCACTAAGCAGTAAGAAGGGCAGAAACTGAAGTGATTTCAGAGCTAGAAAGAGATGGATTAATATTTATCTAAGAGATGTTTTGAATGAATGAAGCAGAAATAAAGAAACATAAGAAAACTTAATGGGTTTTTTCAAACTGAGCCCATCAAATGTCTAGCGAGATGAATAAAACAAAAGTTTTTAAAATGCCACTAAGTAGACCTCTGTCAAAGTCTAGAACTCCAAGTGTAAATTAAAAATCCTAGAAGTTTCCAGATGAGGCAAAGCAGGTCACTTACAAAGGCATAACATCAGACCTCTTATACAAAATCATAAACATTACTTTATTTTACTCATCTGTTACTCACATGAAAAAGTTTTTCTGTCTTTGGAAAAACTGCAACAAGATCATAGAGCCGGACCCTTGATGAAGTTGCTCTCTAGGAATATAAAAAGAATGTTATTATACAGTAACAACAAATATACACATGAAATTCTGCCCTAGTGATAAGGTTACTCTTAGATTCCATTCACCTTACACTTCTAATATGCTATTGATATTGAAAAAGCCCATTATGTTTTCTTCTGTTGCTTTATCTCTGCTTCATTCATTCAAACAATTCTGCTTTGCTTAGTATGCTGGCAGAAAAGACCTTCTAAATACATGAAAATTTACACAAACATCCATGTCACCAGTCATCATCCTCCTTCCTTCCTACATTTGTAATGCTTTAACTATGTACCAAATGTTATGTTTGAGATATAAAAAATTAAATTAGATAGACTTTGATTTTATAAAACTAGTGAAGGAAATTGCCAGACATTTACTGAGGACTTGCTGTGTACTGGACCCTGGGGATGCAAAATCATTAGGGCATATGTTTACCCTCAGGGGAATTAATCATTTTTTTCCCAAGACAAAAAATATATACGAGTGTTATGTGATCTATGTAATATATATATATGACTAAGTGTGATACAATTAAGTTTACAACAAGGGCAATACTATTAAATACAAATGAAAATGGTAGATGTGCAAGACAATAACTAAGAGTCCTAGGACAGAGAGAAATATATCAGTTAAAGATAAATAACGAGGTGTTGTTTAAAAAATAGAAAGTCTCAAACCTATGTTTTATGAGTTTGTATATGAAAAGACTACACAAATATATATACATACAAATATAAAATCTCTGAATGATGGCAATGTTTAACTTTTTTTTTTGCTTGTTGGCACCTTCTAAATTTTTGCAAACTCTGATTTTGAAAAAAGAAAAGGTAAAATAAAAGAAGAGGGTATAAGAGAAGCAACAGGTGCTGTGCTGAAGTAGGTAAGGGGGCTGCTGGGTGGACCTGTGCTGAGACAGAGCAGGTTACAGGTCTTAGAAAAAGCAGGACCCAAGATTCTCTCTCCTCCACCTGCCTACTTCTATTTGGAAAGGGAACAAAAAGGAACCACCAGGATGTTCATGATAACAACGCTGCCTCACAGTTGTATAAAACACCAAGACTAGTACTTCACAATTTCTTTAGCAATGCTAACTGTTATAAGGGGATCAGCCTTTCCTTGATTACGCCTGTTCTATGCTAGAGATGCCCATTCTAGTTAAAGATAAAACAGTTCACCTTTTCCAGGATCTTAGTTTCTCACTCCTCGACTGCATCTTTCTTGCCAGCAGTCACACTCAAACCTCTCATTCAATAAACAAAATCTCCTCATATGGCAGATTCCTATCCACCAACCACCCTATGCTTTCTATTCTTTTATGGAGTCAAATTTCTCAAGCAAAGTCAGGGGCACACACTGTCTGCATTTTCTTACATCCCTATTATATCCGTGGAAATGAGAATTTTTGTTAAGGCAGCCAATGACTTTCCCATCAATAAATTCAACAGACATTTTTTGGACCCTTCTGTTTGACTACTCAGGTGTACTGATGCTGCTGAGACCTTTCCTTCCTCCTTTTCTGTTTTTACCTTCCACATAGTCCTCCTACTTTAGAGTAGTCCTTCCTCAGTCTCCAATCCCAGTTCATCCTATCTTTCACCAATAACTGGTGAGTTCTTCAGGACTCTGTCCTAGACCTCCACTTCTTGCACTACACTTTGCCCAGAGAGTCTCATCCATTCCTATGAGTTCAATTACTCTCAAAAGTGACCACTTCCAAAGCAGCATCTTTAATTGGGACTCTTCTGAAGGCCACACTTTCTTTTCCAACCACCCATTTGACAAGCTCTACTGGAACTCCACAGTACCTCATCATATCCCAAACACAACACCCTGAAACCTGCTTCTCTTTGTGTGTCCCAGCTCAGGAGAATGGTACCACTACCTACCTACCTGGCTGCTCAGGCAGACTAAGGTGTCATCATCCTATATCCAATCAATCAACAAATATCATCAATCCTCCCTCCTGGATGCCTCTCAAATCCCTTCTGAACCCTCTTTAATTCATTCTCTGCAACCCTCCTAATTTTTCTCCCTTGGTTAAAACCTTCAAAGGATCCTGGAATTCTCATCCAGGTCTACTTCCCTTAACTCACCCCAGGTAGCCTGCTCACCAGCTTTAGCCCTATTGGTCTTGTTTTACTTTCCAGAATGTACTATGTCTTCCCTGGCTTCAGGACCCTGCAAAATCTACCGTCTGTGGGAGCACTCTCTCCTGCTTGTCATTGACACAATGCTTACGTGATTCTTCGGTTTTCTAGCTTGAGTATCAACTTAAGTCAGGTGACTTAAGAACATCATTTATTTGCCACCTCCCCTCTTTTAAACAATCTTCCCATTTGTAATTATTATTTGTTCAGCGCTTGTTTTGCCAATTAAGCTAAAGCTTTATAAGTTTGAGGATTGTGTCTGTATTATTCACAGCAATATCCCCGGCACCCACCTTATGTCTAATTCATGTGAGTTCAAAGAATAACAGTTGCCAATGGATTCTTTAATTGTGATATCATTATATAGGTCCATGAGTGGGTAGAACAGACATATTATACTATGAATTCTGAGGACAGAGAGAGTAGGCAGGTCCAATGGTGTGTGTTGCGGGGGGTGTTAGGAGAGATGTGAGAATGAAGTAAGATGAAATGCAACACTGTTCAACATTAATCAATACAATTTATAAGACCAAAGGAAAAAGAAAAATAATCAACTTACCAAAACATTGCAGTGAGATGGATCCGAAACAATAATTGTCAATCTAGTTAAAATTTTTATTGGTCTTGATTTTCCCTATAAACAAAAGTATATTATCATAAATGCACAAAATACAACTTTCTGATTTTCTTCTTTGCCAGAGGAAAGTATTTATTAAAAGGTACTAGCTATAAGGGATAGTGAAAAGCAATAAAATGCAGTCCTCAGTCTCCAGGAATTTATAATATAGCCAGAAGTAAAAAAAAGTTTATGAAGAGCTGAGCCTTGACAAAAACGTAAACCTGGTAGGCAAAGAAAGGCAAAGTTCAGGTTAGAGAACAGCGCAAATAATTGGGTATGTTTGAATTGAATAAACAAATATTATGCTTCTTTCTTTTTGTTTTGGAGTAGGAGTCTCACTCTGTGGCCCAGACCAGAGTACAGTCGCATGCTCATGGTCACCCCAGTGTCAAACTGCTGGGCTCAGGCAATCCTGCCACCTCAGCCTTCCAAGTAGCTGGAACTACAGGTGTGTACCACCAGGCTCGGCTAATTTTTTTTATTTATTGCAGAGTCAACGTCTCACCAGGCTGTCCAGGCTGGTGTCAAACCCCTGGACTCAGGCAATCTTTTCGCTTCTGCCTCCCAAAGTGCTGAGATTACAAGTGTGAGCTGTTACAACTGGCGATATTACACTTCTTTTTTGTTGTTGTTGAGTCGGAGTCTCACTCTGTTGCCCAGGCTAGAGTGCAGTGGCACATTCAAGGCCACCACAGCCTCAACCTGCTGGGCTCAGGTGATCCTTCCACCTCAGTCTTCCAAGTAGCTGGAACTACAGACACGCCACCACACCCGGCTAATTTTTGTGATTTGTTGTAGAGACGAGGTCTTACCAAGTTGCCCAGGCTGGTCTTGAACCCCTGGGCACAGGCAATCCTTTCACCTTGGCCTTCCAAAGTGCTGGAATTACAGGTGTGAGCCACTGGAACTGGCAATATTATGCTTCTTAAACAACAAAATACCTACCTGTACAATTGGCAGAGTTGTGAAGAGTTCAGAAACAGCTACTGGTTTTTCAATTTCCTACAACAAATGATAAAGAAATAAAGCTGATTTCTGGTATTCAGAAAGACTAAATTATTTTAAAAAAGAAAGCTAAATAGAAGGGAAGCAAGTGAGAACATCAATGAATAAGAAAGATGAAAACAAATGTTTAGACTGAAATAAGCTGTAGGATACATTTGTTGGCCTAGAGAGAAATATACACATTTACCAGTATGTCCAGGAGAAAAAACAGTTAACCAGTTCATGATGATAAAATAAAAAGGACCACATGTTGTAATTACAGTTCAGTCATAACAATATACTTTTTTTTTTTTTTGAGTTGGAGTCTCACTCTGCACGCTCCCGGCCACCGCAGCCTCGACCTGCTGGGCTCTGGCGATCTCTCCGCCTCAACCTTCCAAGTAGCTAGAACTACAGGCGCGCGCTACCACACCTGGCTAATTTTTTGATTTTTATTGTAGAGACGAGGTCGCGCCAAGTTGCCCAGGTGGGTCTCGAACCCGCGGGCTCAGGCAATTCACTCACCTCGGCCTCCCAAAGCGCGGGATTACAAGCTGAGCCACCGAGCTGGCAACAATACACTTTTTAAACATTACTGAAAGCAACTTAACATCAAGTTAACTTTTTTTTTTTTTTTAGAGTTGGAGTCTCACTCTGTCGCCCAGACTGGAGTGCAGTGGCCGCTCCCGGACACCGCAGCCTCGACCTGCTGGGCTCCAGCGATCCTTCCGCCTCAGCCTTCCGAGTAGCCGGAATTACGGGCATGCGCTACCATGCCCGGCTGATTTTTTGGTTTATTGTAGAGATGAGGTGTCGCCTGCCCAGGCGGGTCACGAACCCGTGGGCTCAGGCAATCCACTCACCTCAGCCTCCCAAAGGCGTGGGATGACAGGCTGAGCCACCGAGCCCGGCTTCATGAAGTTAACTTTAAGAGTCCTTACACCATGCCATATCTAGCACTTCAGAAAAACGCTTTGTTGACATATGCATCAGCTCAACTGTTAACGTATAAAATAAGAAAATGAATAGCACAAAAAGGAGTGCATTTAAGAAATAGGCTAATCTTCGGCTTCCATACTACTAAAATAAACACAAATAATTATAAGTACTTATTATGTATTAATTTATGAAATCTTATTTTACCTGCTTCTTTTCCTTAAAGTCAACAATATGATTGATGGCAACAACTGAATAGCCAACTGAAAAGAAAAATTCAATATTCTTGTTAGATATAACATTTCCTTTCTGTACCCACAGGCTTACCCTAACTCTAGACGGCCAGACTAGGAGGCAGTTTGTGGAGCGGTTATGTGTGTGGGTTTTGGTATCAAACTGCCTGATTTCAAATCTCAGCACTACCGCTTACAGGTTATTTAACATTAAGTTTCAGGTTCTTCATCTGTCAAATAGCAGCACTTCATACATACCTGTCATGAGAATTAAATGAAATCATACACATAAGGTGTTTGCCTGGCACATAGTCAGGGCATGATAATAAAGAGCCTTAACTTTGTTCTTCTCCTTTCCAACCATCATCTTTCATGTCCTTTTGTTAATGATGATGCATTCAAACTGGGGATGGCCACAGGAAAAGTTTCTTTGAAGAAGTAATATTGACCAGCTATACCCAGGAAAATTCATTTTACAGAAACTATCAAAGAATACTAGTGCTAAATGGTCCAGATCATCATGTCTACTCTCCGCTTTCCACTGATGAGGAAGGTATGACCCAGAGACAATGCTAACCAGCGGCAACAATGGAAAGAAAGTCATTTTCCTAGGATTGTTCATTAAGGGGAGAAGACAGGTTCTCATCTCTCAGGGCTCTCTTCCTTTCGATTCAAACATGAGTAACTGTCCAACATTTTGGCCACGCTGTTCCCTTTCCCCGGCCTAATACGTTCTCCACCCCCACCTACCCTCTGTCTAGACAAAATTGTGTCAACACACTCCCAGGCACTCCTCCTTTTCTGAGCCTTCACAGCACTCCCTGTCAGTGTCCCTAGTTTCCCGCATTTGCTCAGATCGGGAAGCGCTGATATTTAAAAGCCTCTGGCTAAGACAACTGGACACGTGGGGGTTAGAAGCCTGTACGCTTGGGGTCAAGCTCTGGCTTCTGCTCTGACCTCTGGCAACCATCAGCTGTGGGCCCTACGCAAACCCCTCGCCCTCGTGGGGCTTCAGTTCCTTCAATTTGCAGGAAAGAAGGAGTTGGACCGTGTAACAGCCCCTAGAACAGCTGAGTCTCCCGCGCGGCTCCCCAGAGCCACACCGCATCAGCCTTCCGGGACATCCCAAAGACCACAGGAGACTTGCACGACACACGGCAGGAGACAGCTCCTTCCGAGCGCGACCTGAGGGCCTGGATGGCAGGGCGGCTGGGCAGGCAACGCGGACCGCGGAGCCGGGACGACTCACGGTGAGCGGCGTTCTCCACAAGTCCGCGCAGGGCCTTCGGGTCGGAGCCCGCTCGCAGGTCCAAATCTGCAAACACCGCCATGCTGAAGTCCCAGCGCCGGTCGTGTGTGTTCATCTACGCAGCCGCCAGGCCCGCCCCCACGGCATGCTGGGAGTTGTAGTTTACTGCGCAATCCCTCCCTGCCTCCCGTGGACTGTTTACTCTAGGGAGTCGCAGACACTTACTCGCTTTGACTTCAAGTACCAGCAAAAACAAGTGCGTTGACATCAACAGCCTCATTTCGGTCCTTTGTCTTCTTCGGGATGACAATGTTTGGTCTTCCCGTGGAGGGATTCAAATCTTCCCATAAAACAATGTAGAGAGCGATTCATTCGAAATGCACGCGCACGGTCTCTACTGAGCATCTTCTCACGAACCAGAGACTTCTGCTAAGGGACGGAAGAGCTGTTTAAAGCGTCTTCAAGAGTCCCCTTTCCCCCTTTGTTCCCTTTCCTTAAAGTACAGACTCAGGAGAACTACCCCTGACGCGGGTCTTTTTGCCCAATCGGAACCGGCCGGGTCAAAGCACGCGGTACTCTGTTAGTCAACATCTTCAACCACGAGATGGCAGGGCTAACTCTAAGATGCTCGGTGAGAGCCAACACTGATTTAGCCAAAGACGGGTTAGAGAAGGGAAGTGCAAAATGGTAATGGTTTACAGTGCAATGTTTCTCCATCTGAGAAGTGTATAAAGTGGTGTATATCTCGCATATTTGATGTTTCCACTGTTTTTGGACTTCGTATAAAAGAACTATTAATTATCTCATTGTGGAACTAGAGTTTATACGAATACTCTCAAACTATCTGTTATGAAGGGCCAGTTTCCCCCTATTTCTCCAGACCTTCCGCCTCCCCCACCATTCTTCTCGGACTAGCACCTACTTCTTTATGCATTACCAGTAAGCAGCCTGGCCTCATGCGAACCACCAATTTGGCAACATCCGAAATGTCCTATACCTGGCTGAATAAAAAGAGTCCACTGATCAGAAGCTTGGATATGGGGACAATACCAAAATGTTTCTAAACCTTTTCCATTTCTTTATTTACTGATCACAAACTATGCACAGATAGTCTCAACAGTCCGCGGATAGTCTGTGGACAACACCTTAAGTAGTATTAATACTTCTTTATGTGATTTTCTTGTTGGTATCATAAGGAAATTTTAAGAAAAGTCGTTTTCCTGTAGTAGCATGCAATTCTCTTCCTGTTTTATCTTTGCAAAGAAGAAATATTTTACCTTTTCCATTATTTAATACTTCCCAAGTAGGAACAGAAGGGACCATTATTTCTGCAACTACAATAAGGTCATATGAAGCAGAACCTTTGCTTTTCATTGGAAAATCTAGTGTTAATTTTGTAGCATCATACAGACATCTTCACCTATGATCTCAAAAATCTAGATTGGTCAGAAATACTATCAATGTGTGGTGAAGGTGAATAAGATGACAGTTTCAGTATTTAAAAAACTTTTTAATTGACACATTGAAATTGTATATACTTATACGGTATAATTTGATATTTTTATGTTCATGTATGTTGTAAATGATCACATCATCATAATCTGCATATTCATTACTTCATGCACTTGTGGTGATAACATTAAAAACCTCTCTTCTAGCTATTTTGTAATATATAAACAATATCGTGGTGATATTAAAAACCTCTCTTCTAGCTATTTTGTAATATATAAACAATACCTTACGTTAACCCCTTACTGTTAACCATAGTCACCAACTGTGCAGTAGAACAGAACTTATTCCTCCCATCTAACTGTAACTTTATACCTGTTGACCAACCCCCCCCCCCCCCCATTCTTCCCTTCCCTAACCCTTTCTTGGTCTCTGGTAGTCTCTGGTAATTACTGCTCTGCTTTTTACTGCTATGGAGTTAACTTTTTTTTTTTTTTTTTTTAAGATACCACATATGATTGAGATAATGCAGTATTTGTCTTTCTATGTTTGACTTATTTCACTTAACATGATGTCTTCTAGGTTCACACATGTTGTCTCAATAGTAGGATTTCATTTCTTTTATGGCTGATTAGTATTTCATTGTGTATATATGCCACATTTTCCTTATTCATTCATCTGTTGTTAGACAAGCAGGTTGATCTCGTATCTTGGCCATTGTGATCAGTGCTGCAATAAACATGGCAGTGCAGAGATCTCTTTGACATACTAATTTTATTTCTTTTGGATATATACCTAGTAGTGGGATTGCTAGATCATATGGTAGTTCTAAGTTTTGATGAACCTCATACTATTTTTCATAATGGCTGTAATATACATCCCCACCAACATTGTGTAAGTGCTCCCCTTTCTCCATATACTCACTAACACTTGTTTTCTTTTGCCTTTTTGGTAAGAGTCATTTTAACTGGAGTGAGGTGATATCTCATTGTGGCTTTGATTTGCATTTCCCTCATAATTAGTGGTGCTAAGCACTTTTTAATTTACCTATTGGCCATTTATATGACTTCTTTTCAGAGATGTCTATAAGGTCTATTGTCCATTTTTAAAACAGGGTTACTTGTTTGTTGTTGTTTACATTTTTCTATATTCTGAATATTAACCCCTTGTCAGATGTATAGTTTGCAAATATTTTCTTGCATTCTGTAGAATGTATGGCCACTGTTAATTTTTTTCTTTTCTGTGTTAAAGCTTTTTAGTCTGATGTAATCCCATTTGTCTGTTTTTGCTTTGGTTACCTGTGCTTTTGAGGTCTTATTTTAAAAATCTTTACCTGGCCCAATGTCATGAAGCATTTTCCCGGTGTCTTCTTCTAGTAGTTTTATAGTTTCAGTTCTTATATTAAGCATTTAATCTCCCCACCCTCACCCCATGGAGAGAGGTAGGGGTCTAGTCTCCTTCTTCTGCGTGTGAATATCCAATTTTCCTAGCATGATAATTTACTAAAGAAATTGTCTATTTCCCAGTGTGTATGTTCTTGGAGCCTTTGTTAAAAAATCAGTTGACTATTGGTGCATAAATTTACTTCTGTGCTATTTTGTTTCATTGGTCTATGTGTCTGTTTTTCTGCCTGTATCATACTATTTTGGGCACTATAGCTTTGTGGATTATTTTGAAATTAGGTAGTGGGATGCCTCCAGCTTTGTTCTTTTTGCTTAGGAATGCTTTGGCTATTTGAGGTCTTTTGTGGCTCCAAACAAATTTTAGAATTCTTTTTTCTATTTCTGTGAAAATGTCATTAGGATTTTGATACAGATTACACTGAATCTGTAGTTCTTTGAGTATTATGGCCATTTCAACAATATTAATTATTTCAATTCATGAGCACAATATATTTTTCCATTTGTGTCCTCTTCAATTTTGTCTTCAATATTTTATAGTTTTTATTGTACAGATATTTCACCTCCTTGGTTACACTTATTCCTAGGTATTTCTTTTTGTAGCTACTGTAAATGAAATTGTTTTCTTTATTTCATTTTCAGATAGTTCACTAATAGCATATAGAACACTACTAATTTTTGTATGTCAATTTTGTATTCTGCAACTTCACTGAATTTATTTCTTAGTTTTAAATAGTGGAATTTTTGGTGGCATCTTTAGGGTTTTCTCTTTATGAGATCATGTTGTCTGCAAACAGGGACAATTTGACTTCCTCTTTTCCAGTTTAGATGACTTTTATTTCTTTTTCTTGCCTAATTTATCTGGCTAAGAGACAGTTTGATTATTTGATGCTAATATTAGATTAAAACAGGCTTCTTTCTTTGAAATTTACGGTATTATTGCTGTGGACTGTACCCAGTAGACTTGTTTTATTTTCTGCATCCAGAGCCTAGATGAAGAGGAAGAGAAAGGGTGAGAAAGAATAGGAATAGATAATCATTGAACACTATATGGAAGGCCAGTCAGTTTGCTAAGTACTCATGTATCTTATTTAATTTCCCAAGAAGCTGCGTGTTAAATACTGTTCTTTAAATCAGCAGCCACTTTTTACATCTCAGAACTCTAAGGCTTAGGTAATAGTGGAACTACATGTAGATGAAGGCAGTTGTATTCAGTTCTTGCCTAATGTACCACCTCCAGAGCAAGGCAAACAGAGGCAAGAGTTGTGGAGGAGGAAGGAAGGAGAGAAGAAGAGAGTAAGAAAAAAGATAAGGGAGATCTGGTGGGGAGAGAATGAGAATGAAGAAAAGGGAAAGTAGGGAGGGAGAGGGAAGGAACGGAAAGAGGTGGTGAGGGGAGAAGTGGGAAGAGGAAAATGACAAGAGGGCATAGGGGAGATAAATAGGGGGAGGGGTCAGAAGCTGACCTGAGAGGTGGCAGAAGAAGTAAGAATCTGGTGTTTGGAGGAGACCCTGGAAATTTCTGACTGGAAGAAAACAGAACGGTAAAATTGCTCTAAGAACTTTACATTCATTGTCTGATTTAATCCTCACAACAGCCAGTGAGAGAGATCATTGTTAGCCCTGTTACATTAAGAAGGAGTCCTGGGCTCAAAGAGGACAGCTCTTGATTCATTTTCTTTTCTAAGGGGAGCTTAGAGGGGGTGGCTCTTCAGATCCAGAGCAAACTTTGGACCCTTTTCAGTCTCTTGGAAGATCTCTCTTTCTTGGGTTGTGTGTGGGCTTGAGTGTGTGCTTAATTAACCTTTGGCTATATACTTCATTTGATTCACCCTTCCTGAGTGAGCCTAGAAACACTCCATTCAATCCCCATCCTTTTGCAGTTTAAGACTGAGGGGGAGCCAGACAAGAAAGCCATATTATAGCATAATTTGTATAGATGTTCTGGGAGTACCTAGTAGTCTTCTCTCCCAGATTGATGGAGAAGTTTGGGAGATCTAAAGAGGAAAAAGGGCAGTTTCTTTGAGGAGGTAATTCTTTTTTTTTTTTTTGAGTGGAAGTCTCACTCTGTCACCCAGACTGGAGTGCAGTGGCTGCTTCCGGCCACCGCAGCCTTGACCTGCTGGGATCCAGCGATCCTTCCGCCTCAGCCTTCCAAGTAGCCGGAATTACAGGCATGCGCTACCACGCCCGGCTGATTTTTTGATTTATTGTAGAGATGAGGTCTCCCTGCCCAGGCGGGTCTCGAACCCGTGGGCTCAGGCAATCCACTCACCT